GCCACAAGCCACCAAGTTCCTTTCTAGGGAATTGTTTTATTTCACCAGTGCTATGGCATATCAACCAGGTGGTAGAAGGGAAGTCCTGCCCCATCACTTCCACCTTGTGCTTCTTCCATGAATTACACAAGGTTTCAGTGTTGTTGGCTCCTGACATCTCACCAGCAGTAACTTTTTGGGAATGTATCCAATCCACATACAACAGTGGCAGACAGTTCTGAAGTCAACTATTATGAAAACATAACTGGGATCTTTTATTCATGTGCTCAGTTTTTAACACAAATAAGAGCTGAATTTCCTACTCCCTTGTCTTGTGAGTCACTTACCCCTGCACAAAGTGAGTCAGGTCTTTCAGGGTGCTTAAGCTAGCTTTTTATCTCCCCACTAGTACAAAATCACCCTAAGGCCATCTTAGCCAACCATAGGAGAATCTTTCCCTCCTAGCATGGAGGAATCCTCATATGGTGCAGAGACAAGGAAGCAGCTCTGAGATTAACTGAACCCAGAATGGGGATCATACTAAGGTGGTTTTATCTTACCAGGGATCTCCTGGATTCAGACAAGATACTAGTCTGCCAAAGAGTGCAGTGGAATCAGGCAATGGCATCAATCCTGCCACACAGCAAAGGGATGGCACAAAGGAAGGTCCAGTCCAACTTGGACAGCTCTACTTCAACCTTTGTTATCTCCTCGAGGCTTCCCCTTTCTTCCTGTGTTCTGACTGTTGACATTTATTTTAATTTTTTTTTGCATGACCTGAGTGCTGGTAAAATGTGCCTGAATGACAGGCCTGGAGAGCAGAAGGTCTCAAGTCACAAAAGTGGCACAGCTCCAGCTTGAGTACTTTGAAAGGGAAATTCTGTAGTCCTTAACAGACCACAGTAGCCCTTGAATGGGATTGTAAACCTCTCACAGAATTTTATATCCAACCTATAGACTTCTGTAAGGTTTCTTTTAAAAAATAATCTACAGACAGGTTCTCAGTCTCTGTTGAATTCCATAGGGGTTTAGAGCCATTTCTACAAAGCCTTAGTCAGTTTAGATACAAATTTGCTTTCATCTGTATTCAGCGCTATCGAACCTTCCCCCTGTGGGCAACACAAACTTCCAAACAGTCAGGGCAGGGAGAGAGGAGAGGGAGGGGGACAGTGGAGAATTCATGTCATAGCTTATTTAAGAGAAGACAGAGAAAAGTGTCAATAGATATAGAGTGGGAAATAACTAAGAACTAGCTTTGGGGGTGGGGCTCGGGGATAAGAAATCACTAAGGAATAGGAGATGTTAAGTGACCTAATTGCTCTTTTCCATTCCTGCAATTGTATCTGTATGTTGGATTCAGTCTTTAGCCATTTTCTTGTCTTCACTCCTAAACCAAGATGCTAATCAATGCACTGCGTGCAACGATCTGTACATTGTGATAGGCTACGACAGCAAGGGGCTGACTGGAGTGACCCCAGGAAGGCCTTTTCAGTTCTGTGTCCCTATGGTGCTGGTAGTTTGTGTGATGCAGGCACCTCTCCAATAGGTGCTGGACTGCACCCCAGTGAACTCATTTCACATAGGTGTCCATGGGTAAGAGGTTTCTGAGCTGTGCCGTTTTGGGAATAGAGAACTTGGAACCAGCCAATGCTTATGCAGTATATATGTGAGCACTCCCCTTAATATGGTCAACTAACCACGAGCCATCTCTTTCCCCACTAGATGCTGTAGAAGAAACCAAACCTACTGAAAGTGCCCAGCAGGAAGAGGTGAAAGAAGAAGACAGCAAGGCGGACCAAGAAAATGC